GAGCAAGGATATTTAACTTGAAGTCTGTGTAAACACACAGAGCAGTTTAAACAGCATAGTGGAAAGCTCCAGGCCCACTGTAACTCAGACTTTTGTTGACTTTCTAGCACTGGTTATTAAGATGACTCAAATTTTATTTATTTCACACTTAATTGAGCATCCCTACCATAATGTGTGCTTCTTAAAGCCAAGGACTGACTGGGTCTGATTGATTTGATCGATCTCTTTAGCCTGGCACAAAAGCAAGGGCAAAGCCCATGGTCTTTGAATCTATCCATCCATTCGTGCTTCTGTTCTCCTGGAAAGAGAATTTGAGAAATCAGTCCCCTGGTGGTATAAATAGTTAATACTCTTGGCTATTCCCTGAAAGGTTGGAGGTTCAAGTTCACTCATCACGGCACCTTGAGAGAAAAGCTGGGGAGGTTTACTTCTGAAAAAGCAATCATTTAAAACTACTCAGGCAAACAGGGTCTCTGGGAGTTGAAGTCCACTCGATGAGTAGCACTCTTGTATAGAACAGTAATGCAACAGAAAGAGAAACAAACAGTCATGTTCGCATCGATCTTGGGCTCAGATTGCTTTTGTTTGCCAAACATTTAGAAGCCTTGGTGGAGAAATCAGGCCATAAAAGAATAATTTCAATAGAAGGTATTAAAAGTTGAGAAGTTGCTAATTGTGCCTAGGCTTCATGTTCCCCATCCTTCCACATGTAATCCCTCAGAATCTCTGCTAAACTATGACCTTACTTTTCAATCATCATCACCACTATGCTCATTTAAACATTCATGACTTTCTGCCAGGATTCATAGACTTACATAAACAGCAACATGTACATCTCCTGATGGAATATACAGTAATCAAATTGATTACATATGTAGGAAGAGAAGATGAAGAAACTCAATATCAGCAGATAAAACCAGGTCAGGGCTAGCTGTGGAACACATGATCAATTGCTCATATGTAAGGTCAAGTTAAAACTGAAGAAAATTCAAAGAAGTTGACTAATACCAAAATATTGCCTTGAGTATATCCCCCCCAAAATTTGAGAACATCTTAAAAACAGATTTAATGCATCAAAAACTAATGAAAAAACCTGATGGGCTATGGAAAGACATCAAGAACATCATTCATGAAGAAAGTAAATGGTCAATGAAAAGACAGAAGAAAAAAAAAGGAAAAGATACAACTGTAGGGTCAGAAGGTACAATTGGAGGGTCAGAAGATACAACTGTAGGGTCAGAAGATACGACAAGAGGGTCAGAAGATACAGTTGGAGGGTCAGAAGATACAACTGGAGGGTCAGAAGATACAATTGGAGGGTCAGAAGATACAACTGGAGGGTCAGAAGATACAATTGGAGGGTCAGAAGAGACTCTGAAACTTGCTCTTAACTAGATAGTCAAGGCAATAAAAGTAATGATGAAGTAAAAAAGATGACCAGAACATTTCAAAGAGCAGCTCAAGAACACAAAGTTATAATAAAATGTGCAAAGACATAGAGTGAGAAAATTTTAAAGGAGGAATATTCTCAGCTTATGTTGAACAGAAAAAACAACTCTCAAAAAACAATTCAAGCCATCACAATGCTGAAAGATTTTATGGACAAAACAGTAAATGATAAAGGAAGCCTCAAAAAAGATGGCACAAATACACAGAGTCACTGTACCAAAAAGAACTATTTGACATTCCATCATTTTAGAAGGTCACATATGAGCAATAACCAATGGTACCAGAGAAAGAAGTTCAAGTTGTACTGTAAAACTAAGCAAAAACCAGGCTCCAGAAGTTGATGGAATACCAATTTTAATGTTTTTATAAGCTGATAAAACACTGAAAGCACACATTTGTCTATGCCAGAAATTTTAAAGACAGTTACTTGGGCAACTGACTGGACGAGATCCATATTTGTACTCATTCCAAAGAGAGGTGACCCAACAAAATGCTCAAATGATAGAACCATATCATTATTCTATAATTCAGAGCTCTGGTTGTATAGTGGTTATGAGTTCTGCAGTTCAAAACCACCAGCCACTCCAAGGGAGAAAGACTGGGCATGCCACGCCCATAAACAGTTACGGTCTTGGAAAGTAATGTGCATTTTACTATGCCCTATAGCAGTGGTTCTCAATCTTCCTGATGCTGCGACCCTTTAATACAGTTCCTCAACCATAAAATTATTTTCATTGCTACTTCATAACTGTAATTTTGCTACTGTTATGAATCATAATGTAAATATCTTCACGCTGGGTACTCACATGTGGGCGTATCTGTATGTGGGTGGACCTGCCTTGAGACAGATAGAGAAGTTGTGTCTCAGTTCCTAAGACCATTGGAAATGTGTTTTCCGATGGTGTTGGGCAACCCCTGTGAAAAGGTCGTTCAACCCCCAAAGGGGTCACGACCCACAGGTTGAGAACCGCTGCCCTATAGGGTTGCTATGAGTCAATATTGACTTGATGGCAGTGAGTTTTTTTGTTTGTCATTCATATCACATGCAAATAAATTTTGCTGACGATCATCCTGCAATACATGGCTCAGGGGATATTATTTCCAATGTCAGATGGATTTTAGAAAGCAGTTTATTGACTATGCTGAAGTATTCAACTGTGTAGATGATCGCAAAGTATGGATAGCCTTGAGAAGAATGAGCACTGAACAACACTTCATTGTGCTCTTATGGAATTTGTACATGGATCAAGAGGCCGTTTTGCAAAGAGAACAAGGGACTGCTGCATGGTTTAAAATTAGGAAAGGTGTGTGTCAGGGTTGTATCCCTTCACCATATTTATTCAATCTCTGTATGCTAAGTAAATATTCAAAGAAGCTGGACTAAAGGAAAAAGAATGTGACATCAGAATTCCAGATAGATTCATTAACAACCTGCGATATGTAGATGACACAACTTTGCTTGCTGAAAGTGAGGAGGACCTGAGGCACTTCCTGATGAAGGTCAAGGATTACAGCATTCAGCATGGATTATAACTCAATGTCAAGGAGACCAGAATCCGTACAACTGGACCAATAGGTAACATCATCATAAATGGAGAAAAGATTAAAGTTGCCAATGTTCTTGGAAGTCGCAGTCAAGAAACAAGGAACACATTGCATTGGGTAAATCTGCTGCACAAGACCTCTTTGAAGTACGGAAAAGCAAGGGTGTTACTCTGAGGACTGAGGTGGGCCTTACCCACACCGGGGTATTTTCAGGTGCCTCAGGTGCATGTGAAAGTTGCATATTTAAATGACAGAAGATGAACTGATACATTTGAAGTAGGGTGTTGGCAAACAATATTGAAAGTACCATGAGTGGCAAAAGAACCAAGAATTCTGTCTTGAAGAAGTACAGCCAGAATTCTCCTTAGAGGCAAGGACTGGAAGATTTTGTCTTAGGGACCTTGGACATGTCAGAAGAGACCAATGAGTCCCTGAAGAAAGACATCTTGCTCGGCAGAAAGGTAGTGAGGAAAAAAGGGAGACTCTTGACAAGATGGATCGACACTGTGGCTACAACAGTAGATGCAAACTGTGGGGATGGCACAGGACTGGCCGCGCTCACTCTGCAGTCAGTACCTTGGGTAACTGTGAGTTGGAATCAGCTGAATGGCACGTCAAAACAACAGCTGCTTGAAAGCATTTTCTTCAATGAAGGTTTGTCCAAGTCAGTCCAGTATTCCACTTCCCTGGTTCTCCTTGGTTAATTGGATAACATTCAATAACTCAGGAAGTCTTACAAGAACTTGTTGATGACATTGTCCCTACTTAGCTCTTCAACTGTTAATGCAGGTTATTTAAAGACAGACTATGCTACAGTTCAAATTGGGGAATATTTGCAATCACCGTCAAATATGGCTTGATTAAAAAGAAAACCTAGTATCTTTGTACCTCTGTCCAGAAGAATCTTCAGCTTTATTTACATTGGAGCCCTGGTGGTCATTGGAGTAAGTGTTGCGCTGATAATCCCCAACTTAGGGTTTTGATGTTTATAGACCACAAAAGCCCAGTTCCTGGAAAGTTTCTTGACATATCTTTGTGACAACTCAATGCTTTATACCACTGTGGCAACACTCATTTCACTTGCATGGATCTGCTGTGTCCTCTAGTAGATGATTCCCACTCTTTCACCATTTAAAGCCTTATCTATGAACCAAATACTAACTAGGTCTACTGGTATAAAGAAATATTTAATATGACCTTTGCCTTTCAGGACTTCACAGTTTTCTGGAGGGGTTGGAAGTGGGGTGGTATTTATAAACCAATATAAATAATAGGTTGTGATGAGCGTTATCATGGGAGTGACAAACTCTGTAGATGAGGGAGCACAGACAAAGTCACAGAGTAGTGAAGGAACATGAATTGCGATGAAGCTATTAGGGGGAAATCTAGCTTTATGAATAGGTACTAGTGTGGGCTGAACAGACAGCTTCTGAAAGCCATAATATACAAAGAACATGACTCTGAATTATGCCTGAAGAAGTATGGGAAGCTCTGGTAGGATTTGCACTGGGGGGTGACGTGGCCATTTTCACAAAGTAAACTATCACTTTAGCTGCTGTGTGAAAGATGGAGTGGTGTGGGAATGAATTAGAGGTAAGAACATGGGCTAGTCATCACTGCTTGGCCCAACTTGTATTTCTTTAGTGACCATATACTGTGCAGGAAGCATATGTTAGACTCTACACTAAGAGAATGCCACTGGGCCGTGCACGTGGTTAAGCAGTATGACTGAACCCAACCAGAAGTGCATAGGAAGGCAGGCCTGGCAACCTGCCCATTCTGAAATGTCTCATCTTTGAAAACTCCATGAAGCAGTTCTACTCTGTGCACATGGGATCACCATAAGTAGGAACCAACCCTACAACCAACCACAGCAACCCAGAGAGAAAGCTAACTCTGCTAATTCAGGAGTTTGTACATTCACCAGAGACAGAGTAAGGTGACCAAATAGGTTAATCAGGGGTGCAAACACATTCAAGATTATATTACAGGAAGTATCCACTTACCAACTTTCCAGTAACGCTCTGGCCTCCTTCATTCAGCCACAGCCCAGGGACCATGGCTGAGAAATAAGGGCCCCAGATGCCAGGTACGAAAATCGGATCTTTGCTGATCTGCAGAGAAAGAGGGAAAACACTTGAAAACACTTGACTTACCTCAGAAGAGGGAGTCTTAGCCACCTGACTCCTGCTGGTTCTATGGCAATGGAACTCAGCTTCTCCTGGAACACCTTTTGTGATGGAGAAATCACTCCTTTACTAGGAAACCAGGATTCCATCTTTGAAACCTTCTTGCTAGCTCCACTGAGATGTCAAGGTGGCCAAAGCAATTGCATTGGAAAGGTACTGATGACATGCTTCCTTGAGGATTCTCTTCCTCTGGCTGATTGAACAATCTGCCTTTGCTGTCCACAGTCTTTGCTGTTCATGGAGCTGTGTGGCTCTGTCCATCCGCCCCCTGCATCTGAACCACGGTTTCTGGAATCTGAACAAGGTTATTACACTTTGTTGCTAACCAGAAATTTGGAGACTCAAGTCCACATGATGATCTACTTCTCTACAGAGCACAGTTTTAGTTGGACACCTGTAAGTTGACTGCGAGGAGTCCTGGGGATGGGACAGTGAGTTACATAAGGAGTGGCAGCTTCAGATACCCACGGAGACAATTCTACCATGTCCTCCGGGGTCACCATGAGTAATAATCGACTCTACGGCAGTGAGTTTGGAGCATAAACTCAGTTTTAAAAGACTAGTAAGATTTTGCCAGAAGAGACAGAGAAGGCATTTCAGGCTGAGGGAAAAGCTTAAGCAAGTCAGCAGTTCAAAATCACCAGCCACTCAGAAGGAGAATGATGAGGTTTACTGCTCCCATGAAGCATTATAATTTCCAGAAAGCACTTTACCTTATAGGGTCTTTACCCTATAGGGTCCCTATGACGCAGAATCAACTGAATGGCAGTGAGTCATTTTGGGGGTAGACATGAGTTGCAATGGACTTAATGGCAAATGGTTAACTATGAGTCAGCCTTGAGACTTCTTCTGGCCAAGAGAGTGAGGTAGCAGTAGCACTGTCTCGGTTTTCCATATTTAGGCTGCCAGCAGCTGGGTGGGAGGAAGATTAGGCTTTCTACTCCCTTAAAGAGTTACAAGCTTGGGAACCCACCCGTGCGGCTCTACTGTGTCCTATAAAGTCTCAATGAGTCGGAATCAGCTCTATGGCAGGAAGTTTGATTGGATTCCGAGGCATAGGAGGGATTTGTGCTTCCACCGATTGCATTGTTGTTGTTGTTGTTGTTGTTAAGGGCTGTTGAGTCACTTGGACTTCATAGAACATGTGTAGACTAGCCTGCTGTGGGGAAAGACATGTGCAGCAGAGATGAACCAGCTTAGTTGTCTTAGTTGAAACCCCAGATCTATGACAGCCCCCTGGCAAGATCAACAAGTCCCCACCCCCCCATCCTTAGTTGACTAGGAGCTGGCCAGCCCAGATCACGAGATTCACCTGCTAATCCAAAAACCTGTAAACAAAAATAAATGTTTATTTTCACAAGTCACTAAGGTTCTGTGTCCCGTGGATGCAGGAGGCAAAAGTTAAAAGGATGCAATGCACTGGGTAAATGCACTGCCCATGACCTCTGTAGAGCACTGGAAAGAAAGCACACTGCTTTTGGGACAAAGGTGTGCCTAACCCATGCCAGGGTGCTTCAGCTGCCTCAGATGCATTGAAAGTTGGACATTGAATAAGGAAGACTAAAGACGTGATGAATTTAAATTATAGTGCTGGTGAAGAATAATGAAGCACGTGGACTTCCAAAAGAACACACAAAACTATCCTGCAAGTACAGCCAGAATGCTCCTTAGGATGGAGAGACTTCGGACATGTTATCAGGAGAGTGCTGTCCCTGGAGAAGGACATCATACTTGATAAAGCAGAAGGGCAGTGAAAGAGAGAAGGACCCTGGGCAAGCTGTAGCTGCACAGTGGCTCCAGTGATGGGCTCAAACATAGCAATTGAAGGATAGCGTAGGACTGAGTAGTATTCTGTTCTGTTGTCCATAAAATCGCCATGAGTAGGAAAGGACTTGTTGATACCCAACAACAACAATAATAACAATAACAGTTTTGTGTTAATTTTCTACTCAGCATTTTTGTGGCAATAGGTAACTGATATATTCCCTTCCTTCTACAAATGTTTACTAGCTACCTAAAATCGTGTTCTCTCCCTCTTCTGGGTGCTAGAGATCTATAGATGGATCAGATGCAATTCTTGACTTTAGGAAGTTCCTCACTTAAGGAAGAGCTTGAGAAATAAGCAGACAGATTACAGTGCAGTCTTTTGGAGGGAAAGACAAATATGGAATGTTGTGGATGGATACTGTCGACAGAAGAGGATGTGAGGAGTGGGATGATCCAAGAAGATTACCCCAAGTTGACAGTGGGGAACCCACAGAAATGGTTCTACTATATCTTACAGGGTAGTTTTGAGTCAAAATTGACTCAATGGCAGTAAATTTTTTGAGTGAGTTTGGGCATTAGCTCACTTTAAAAAGACTAGTAGTATTTAGCCTGAAGAGGTAGAGAAGGCATTCCAAAAGGAGGGAAGAGTTTAAAGAAAGTCAGAGGAGTGTGTGTGTGTGTGTGTGTGAGAGAGAGAGAGAGAGAGAGAGAGAGAGAGATTGGCGCTCTTAGTATTCAAGGTACAGCAGTGTGGTATCTGTTTTCTTGTGGGAGGACTATGGGAGTTCCCTATAGGCACAGGAAGTGTGTCAAAAGATGAGACAGAGACAGTAGGAATGACTCATAAAGAGGGACACTGGGCTAGAAGTTATCTTTGTGAATGAGGCAAAAGGATTCCGGATTCCCATGTATATAAATTAGAAAGAAAATGCATTCACTTATTCAACAACTTATTCAACTTAGGCAGCCATTACTGTATGCCTGTGGGGTTAGAGAAATGAACTGAAGTGTGCTCATTCTTCCTTCAGAGTTCCTAGTCTAGCATTTTGTCATCGGCACAGACCTTTGATTGTCTTGCCTCCAATTGTTCTGACTTCCTTTTCATTAAACTTGTGACTTTTCAAATGAGGATTTCTTATCCTGAAGTAGGATGGAGATAAAGGCACAGCATTGCTAACTTTGAATTTCTCCACATAGAGGGAAAATTAGGGAATCTATTATCACCATTCTTTCATTAAAAAGGATCATTTGGTACCTATGGTAGGAAGAACAATCTCCCTGAGTGGTACAATCATTAAGGGCTCAATTACCAGTTCAAAGGCTGGCAGTTCGAATTCACCCAGAGGTGCCTCAGAAGACAAGGTTGACAATCTACTTCTCCAAAATTCCCAAGGAATTGTGCCACTCTACACACATGGAGACCCCATCAGTCAGAGTCAGCTCTATGGCAACTTACAGTAATAACACACAGGAAAAGACAGTTCCATCTACACTGACACATTGATTTAGTCCTTGATTAATTCAAAGGGTGCTTTCTGAGTGCATATAGTCACCCTGGTCTGTGCCAGTCACTGGAGCTAAAACAGAAGGAAAAGAGTCCACGCCCTACCCTCATGCAGCTTGACATTTTAAGAGAGAGACCTAAGTTAGCAATTGTCTAGGTTTGGAATAAATGTGAAATTACCCACTACGATAAATATGTGGAAAGTAGAAAAGTACAATAAGACTGTAGACGTGAGAAACCTAATCTTGTCTAAATGTTAGGGAAGGCTTCTTTGAGGAAGCGCTATTTGAATCAAGACCTAAAGCCTACCTAGGAATTACTCAGGTGTGTGTGGTATGGAGAGGGTTGTAGCCCGAAGGGCACGTTGTCTTTGCCCAGTGACAATTCTATTACATGCCAACAGAGAAGACAACCCTAAACCGCATCCCAGAATTTCTTTGCGGTGCATCAGACAGTCCATGCTTCAACTACTTAGGACCTGAGATGTACACCAATTGATGGAAACCTACCAACTCGGAGTTATCTCTTTTTATGCCATGCACCTCCGCCTTTGCAGCATCCATTTGGAAAATTCGTCTCAGACATGGTGCACAGGTTGTCCAAGGCCTCACAGCTAGTAAACACCCAAAGGTGGTAGGTGTTCACCTCAGAACCCAAGATGTGACTTTGGTCTATTGTATATATGCACTGCCCAGGGAAGATACTACCCACATTTCCACTAGTACACCCTGACACTACCACCACCCCTAATTCCCCCGCCATGCCCCTGTCAAGGATGGTCCTGTGTCGAGCAGGATTTCATCAGAAGACTGTTCCTTTCCTCTCAGAAACAGGAGGGAAGGCTTTTGTCAGGGTCCAATCAAAGAGGACGCTTCAGGTCACTCTGCTCTGCGCTCACTCAAGTGGCCTGCAATGTTCTTAGACATCTGAGCAGACTATGGAAACAAAGGCACAGAGAACTTCCAATCACTCCCAAGCCATGTGTTCTTGGAGAGTATGAATTGGAGTTTGTTTTGAGAACTAAAGAGAAAATATACATTATGTTTTTACGTGTGCATTCTCCCATGATATTTACAGAGATGTAATGCTCATACCAACTCAACCAGATAGGTCCTTTTCCTATTTTTACTTCACAAAGGAGAAAATCTAACCAAAGGACTTTCCTGTAGAAGGGGGGTAATTTCAGGATCCAAACAGGATCCAATCTATAAACAACCAAGCTATTTCCCTTACTCATCTTGTTTGTTCATAAAATTAGGGATTGATCTACAACATAGATCCCCAAATTTATTTAGCCTATCAACCATCCCCTTTCAGGAAAAAAAATTGCTCCCCGCCCCACAAACCAATTAAACATTTTTGTGCTACAGCTAAGGTTGACCAATTTTAAACAGAATTCTTAAATGTCTTTATCATTAGCTTTAGAAGTCATTATGTAAATTTGAGTGATAGTTGCATTAACTAGATTTTCTTACATACAATTCCTCTTGAATTTTCCATTCTTGGCATAATAAACGACATGGTTTTCTAATTCAAAATGGCCAATACCAGTCTACTGCATCTCACCACTGCCTAGGGCAAGTCTTTTTCCTTCTAAAAGTCACAATCTAGCAGCAGTTGGCATGCAGGATGGATTGGGGATCACTGGGGTATT